TTGTTGGGAGGTCATATCACTCTCTACAGTGTGTGTTGTTTTGCTGATGTACAAGGTCACTTTAATTTCCTTGATTGTGCAAGGCAGTTCGGTTTATCATTCCCACTAGAGAGAATGACAGATTGCAGAGCAGTGAAAGCACACCGACTGATGACCGCCGATCTTACCCGAGGAGTGACTTCCTTTGCTCTGTACTGCATCTTGGAAAACAGATCTATCAAATCCGCTATTTCCTCGCTCTTTCTGACCGACAGCCTTGAGGCCGTAAAGCCGCCGGCCGCGGAGGGGGAGGCAGCCATCATAGCGCCTCGACCTGCGGCGGTTGCCTCCAGCCGAACTCGGCCTCCTTCAAACACCGCAGAGCCTTGTCCTTCGGATCGGGAAGACCGACGAGGCCATCCCTTCCCAGCCAGCTTCTTCCTGACTGCCCGCTTGAGGGGGCCGGAGCCGGGGAGTCTTCCTGAATTCAGGGCACCGGCGAGCTGCTCCACTGTCCAAACACAAGCCGTTAGCCAGCCCGCACGCCCAGCCACTCACACCACGGCGGCTACTGCTACCGCAGTTAGCACGAATAGCTAACAGTCTAGTTCAGCTTTCCAGTCGTAGCTTGCTCGTTTATATGAACTCAAACCGCTCGTTACTCGTTTCAGACAATTTCAGGCCCTTGTAGTCCTCCGCATCACCACGGGTTTGTTTGCGGTTGTAACATCTGATGAAGTGACGCCCGACTCTCAGCACCACCTGGAGTCAGGAAATCTTCAGGATCCTTCCTGGCCTGCTCACGTTTAAGCAATGTCACGTCTTCATATCTATTTATTAACCTGGGCTATGCCAATAAACGGATTTAAATTATGCGGTAGTCAACCCCGTGGCTGCGGAATCTCAATACTACATATGTTGTGGAAGAAAGGCAGTGCAGAGTGGTGTTGCAATCTGTAGTACAGTCTGAAGGTACAACAGGCGGTAAACAGGAAGCTGACATGACCACGTGACAGCCATCTCTCCCTTTAATAAGTGACGTGTGTTTTTGAACGATGTTTTGGACGTGTCTGGGGCCTGTTTGTTTACACCGAAAATTATTCCTCATGCTGCAAAAGGTGTATTTCTTGCCTGTAAGATCTTATCTACAAATGGGAACTCATCATTGGCCAACTTAACTATACCTTCTATCTACCTTCTACTTTTCAAACAAACAGGAATTTTTCTTATAGCCTATTCTAGTGTTTTTTCGTGAGAACAACAGTACCTCACAAAAGTGAGTACATCCCTCACATCGTTGTAAATATTTCATTATATCTTTTCATGTGACAACACTGAAGAAATGACACTTTGCTACAATGTAAAGTAGTGAGTGTACAGCTTGTATAACAGTGTAAATTTGCTGTCCCCTCAAAATACATCAAACAGACATTAATGTCTAAACCGCTGGCAACAAAAGTGAGTACACCCATAAGTGAAAATGTCCAAATTGGGCCCATTTAGCCATTTTCCCTCCCCGGTGTCATGTGACTCGTTAGTGTTACAAGGTCTCAGGTGTGAATGGGGAGCAGGTGTGTTAAATTTGGTGTTATCGCTCTCACACTCCCTCCTACTGCTCACTGGAAGTTCAACATGGCACCTCATGGCAAAGAACTCTCTGAGGATCTGAAAAAAAAGAATTGTTGCTCTACATAAAGATGGCCTAGGCTATCAGAAGGTTGCAAAGACCCTGAAGCTGAGCAGCAGCTCAACAGGGCAGGTTCCACTCAGAACAGGCCTCGCCATGCTCGACCAAAGAAGAACGATCCCAAACGCACCTCCAAGACGACCTCTGCCTCGCTAGCTGAAGAAGAATCTGAGGGTAAAGGTGATGAACAAGCATGTCTCCAGACCTAAACCCTATTGAGCGTCTGTGGGGCGTCCTCAAACGGAAGGTGGAGGAGCGCAAGGTCTCTAACATCCACCAGCTCTGTGACGTCCTCATGGAGGGGCGCAAGAAGTGAAGCTCTGGTGAACTCCATGCCCATGAGGGTCAAGGCACTGCTGGAAAATAATGGTAGCCACAAAAAATATTCACACTTTGGGCCCATTTGGACATTTTCACTTAGGGGTGTCCTCACTTTTGTTGCCAGCAGTTTAGACACTAATGGCTGTGTGATGTGTTATTTTGAGGGAACAGCAAATTCAAGCTGTACACTCACTAATTTCTCTACTACATAGTAAAGTGTAATTTCTTCATTGTTGTGACATGAAAAGATGTGAGGGGTGGACTCACTTTTGTGAGATACTGTATGCTTTTTGACCAAGTCATTCTGCGGAGCAAAACATATCAGACTCAAAATAGTATTCATAGCAGAGTGGTGTCTTAAACATGTCTAGAGTGGTTCTTTAAATTTGCACTGACTACACTATACAGTATATCTATATTTACATTTAATTTCTTTGTGCAGCCCTGTTTACCTTGAATAAATATTATCAGTTGTTTTATTATTATATTGGTATTGTTGATCATGGAAGAATGACTTGAATAACTCAACATCAAAAATATAGCCTATATTCATTTCAAGGAGGCTTACATTCAAATTAATTCAATATTCTCTATTAGTATTGATTTTTAATAGCATCATTAAAAGAATACTCCCCAGACTTATCATTGCACTCATATAACACCGTCAGACTCACAATGGACACTTAAAAAGGATGCAGCAGAACCAGAGATATCATCTTTTTTTCTCTGTGCATTCCTCTGCCTTGTCAAAACCTAATGCCTACCCATAATACAAATGGCTACAACTTTTTGATGTGTAAAATCTGTGGAGTTCCCCTTTGGACCAATCCATGATTTAATGATCCTTTCTGACCCACAGTACTTCCATCAGAATAACAATTAAAAATTTCAAGTGTTATTAGCAAATCTCCTTTTTTTTCAGTGTAATCCCAATGCAGTTCTAAGTAGCCCAAATGATAATGTTCCTGAAAACTTTCAGGATTTTATTTTATTTTTTTTAATGAAAAGTTTACAGAACTTCAGAAAAAAAAATTCTTCTCAAGAGTTAATTAAATCTTGAGCAGTCCACCCCCAGCATGACTGACACACCCTGTTTAGATTACATTATGTCTGATGTCACATGACAGTTATGTTGGAATAATCTCTGTCATTAGTCTTAAAGGGCAGCGTTATTGAATTAAGGGAATGTAATCTTTTGACAATAATTTATACATGAGATTGTGAAAGTCAAATCCAGCAATCACTTTTCATTCAGCCACGCAGCTAGTGAATGCTTAATGTGCTGTTATGATGGTCAACATCTCCATGCTGCTTTTCATATGTTCAGCCATGTGTGAATCAACTTCATGAGGAAAGATGCCCATGCTATTACCAGAATCTGTTTTTAATATTTAGTTCATTATAATCTAATGTAAAACACATTCAAATTAAAACTATAGTCCAGAAATTAACATGTTAACTAATAGACCAACTTCTTATAAAAAATAAAAAATATATATTCAACACTTGAGCAATTAAATATCAGTGTGTATGGTTGGTATTTGCGCAAACATGTGTCCAGTGAGTCAGATCGGTGCATCGTGGCCTCAGGATCGCTGTCTGGTGATTTGACTAAACACACATAGCCTAAGTTTAATAATGTGCAACATGAAAGCACAATATCGACTTAAATGTTGTGCGTTTGCTGTCAGGGCCCCAAGGCTCTGGAACAGCCTGCTCGAGGAAATCAGGTCGGCTGAGTCAGTGAACTCTTTTAAGTCCCTTCTTAAAACATACTTTTATAGGAGAGCCTTTCCCGATCTTATTTGACTTTATTTAATCCCTTTTATTTTATTCTATTTTACTTATTTTATATTTATCTTAAACGTGTATTTTAGTCTTTTTTAATGTTTTCATGCTTTTATCTTGTATTGTTTTTGTATTGTTGTCTTTTGGGTATTGTTGTCTTTACACTTGTTAAAGCACTTTGTAACTTGTTTTTGAAAAGTTCTCTACAAATAAAGATTATTAACATTATTATTAAACAACATTGACGCAGATCCCATCTTCAATATCAGAACGAATTTTATGTCAGTTGAAATTAAGTGTTGCACATTGCAAACGATTTTTATTTATTTATTTTTGCAACTTTGTGTAGGGAGAGGGGTCTCTGCAGGGGGAAGTGGGGGTGGGGGTCAAATTTCTGTAATATCAAAAATCATCCACAAGTCGTCGACGTTCCTCGGTTGCGCGCACGGAGAGAGACTGGAGGAGGCACACAGGAGAGCGAGAGGGAGAGAGATACCCGGATAGTGAGTGAGAGAGTCACAGCATCCAAAACCACAGTCATGGGGTTGTCGGTGTGTGCAGTGTTGGAGGACTGATTTATATTTTTATACATTTTTCATGCATATGCCACTCGGACATTCCTCATGTCGAAGTTTCCGATTTTGTCAAGATTAAATTCTTGAGTGAAGCATGTCAAAGACTGCATCCTTGTCTTTTTAATTTATTTTGGATCTCTCTTCATTTGCGGATGATTCATCATCATCTCGGGGAAACTCGACGGGTGCATCTCGTATCTTCTCTAAAACCTTTTTGGTTTGAATCCACAGCAGAGGGGATACCGTTAGGCGAAGGCGAAGAGGTGAAAGAAGACAATGCTGCTCCTCATGTCCATCATTGGCCGCTGCTTTTGGCTCCGTGAGCTCCATTGTCGGCTCTCCTGTGTCTTTACGCGCTGAGAGGAGCGGATTCGGTTGAATCACGCTTCACCACTGAACTGATTGACTGATCTGAGGGTAGGAGGGAGGGAGAAGAGGGGGAGACGAATCCAAAGAACCGGATCTAGATCTGCTGGTTGGTTGAGCTTCAGGGGGAGAGAGGAGACCAGCCACTGGACCTCTGGACCCCTGGTTGCGGAGAAATAGGCCTGTTTTTTAAAAATATATAATTTCATCCTTTCTACCTACAGATCGAGGAGGATAAAAGGGAGATCAAGAAAAAAGGGAACACCAGGTTAACGCTGCTGTGCGGGGGGGAGGGGGGTGGCAGGGGGGGTGGGAGAGAAAAATGCTGCCTTCGCAAGAAGCCTCCAAAATCTACCATGACAACTACATGCGCAACTCCAGGGCCATCGGGGTCCTGTGGGCAATATTCACCATCTGCTTGGCCATCATTAATGTGGTGGTCTTCATCCAGCCCTACTGGATCGGCGACAGCGTCAATACCCCCCAAGCCGGCTATTTCGGCTTGTTCCACTACTGCGTGGGCAACGGGAACTCCAACCGGGAGCTCTTGTGCCAGGGCAGCTTCTCCGACTTCAGCTCCATCCCATCGGGAGCCTTCAAGGCGGCCTCCTTCTTCGTGCTGATGTCCATGGTGCTCATCCTCAGCTGCATCGGCTGCTTCGCCCTCTTCTTCTTCTGCAACACCGCCACGGTCTACAAGACGTGCGCCTGGATGCAGCTGCTATGCGGTAAGGATGGAAGACACTTGACTGTTTGGGTGGGGGGGTGAATGGGGGTTCTTCCTAACGTTTTTGGTGGGGGCACACCATGAGGAGCGGAGCTTCAGTATCCCCTCTCTTGTGTTAGGCTACACCTGATCTCTTTGTCAGAAATGTCACCATCAACCATATTCTCACAGGATGAGCGCAGTGGGAACGCGTCGCTCATTCTGCGCATGAACACTGCACGAGGACTTTTTTCCTCATTAGTAGCGCACCCCCTCTCTCTGTGTCTCCTATGTGAGGGCAGGGGGTCTCTCCTTTGCTTAAGAGAGAGCTGAAATGTGTTCTTGCACTTGATGGAGAGCAAAGATCAAAGGAAAGTCACAAACATGTTTCTGGAAGTCATATGAGGCATTTAGGTGCATCATTTTAGTGGTTGGTGACAAACAGATCTTCAGTCATTCCACATCAGTCATTATTCCAATGCCACCAGACACCTTTCCAACATGGTTTTGAAGCCGTGTTGGCTATAGGTTTTCCCCCATACCCCCAATCATTCTGTCACTGCCTGTTCTTTTTCATCTAGCTGGTTGAAATAATGTGTAATTGTATGGAATTATGATAATGAAATGCCTTCAGCAGTGTTGCATCAAAGATCACAGCTTCTATTTTGGTTGCCATATCTGCCTACCAGATTAGCCTGCATTATGCATGAAATGCACACGCATTCCAATAATGTATCCCCACTCAGCATATTCATTCATCTGTGCAAAACTGGAACAAACTCCCTGTAAAGACTGTATTGTGTATGTAATTGTATTAGGAGGTGCAATAAGCTGTCAGATAGACACAGCTGAGCAGATTAGAAGGACATTGGATTAAAGACTCAGTTTTCATGTGCAATAGAATGGAGTGAGGTTTTTAAAATGGACCAAACTGATGAAGATTTTCAGTTTTGTCAATATTATTATATATTGACAAACATTTTTTTGCTTTCAACCTACAGTCGTAGAAATGCAATATAAACTCAAATTCAAATTCATGTAGGTTGATAGCAGTTACCTGTGTGTGTGTGTGTGTGTGTGTGTGTGTGTGTTTATTCCCATGCCGATATTCTGCCATCACTGTGCTTTGAAACAGATTTTATCAGTTCAAATGGAACCTACAAGTGTGTGCCACTAGCTCAGTCGACATCAGTCGACAATCCTCTGGCGAATTCCCAATCACACAAACCGCTAATTAACTAGATGTGATACATATGAAACTGGTCTCAAACGTGTTGAAAAAGACACCAAGTGTTCATGGCAAGTGGGAGATTTCAGTTTCATCGTGTTGAAGATAAGGTTTGATATGGCTTTCTGTCGAGTTGTCACTCTGTACTGCAGCTAGATCATTTCACAAGTCATTGCTCCAGTGTTCTCACTGACAGGGTACACAGTTGTGTGCATGTGTGTGTTTGCGTGTGGAGGGAGGGGGTGGTAGGAGGGTTAATTGTGCATTGGTCTGGAAGGCCTGACATTATCTGGGAGGAGGTATTGATGGCTAGATTATTCCTTCCCACAAGGCAGCTGGAGCTGAGGCTGTGTTGATAGCAGTGGACTCAGGACCTTTAGAAATCATCGACTTTTTCCTGCACTGTGTCCTTAGAGAGAGCAAGGTAAGAAAACAATAGCAGATCGAAGCACACAAACATGGACGTATAAAGAAATGAAGAGATGGAGGAGAGTGTAAGTGAAAGAGTAGAACTCAAAAATGAAGGACAGTCATCCAATAGATGGGTTTCGTATTTTCAAACGAGGGTACAAAAGCAGCGGGGAAAGAAAGCGTGTCGGTACTATGCATGGTAGCTTAATTATGGATATTTTCAGTATTAAAGAGGTGGTATTATGCTTATTTAGAGGTTGTACCAGAACAGGTTTACATGGTTTAATTTTCAAAAAACGCCATATTTTTGTCATACTGCATAATAATGATCTTTGTTGGGAGTTGCACATACGCAGTTCCTAGTGAAGGACTACTAGCCAATCAGAAGTAGAGAAATGTGGGTCAGCAAAGGCCGGTAATAGCTAAGGAAGTTTGTCACAGTGTGTGCTGCAGCTCAGTGTGTTTCTCCACCAGTGTTGTTGAGGGTGTCCCTGACTAGCTGCTAGGCGAGCACTATTACGTGTGTTACGTAGTGACGCAGATAGATTACGGAAGTAAAGACTGGACTACAATCAAGCTGTTTTCAGGCAGTTCAGGAGTAGTGTTTTCTGTAGGAGATGGTAAATCCCTTTGGGGTGTACAGAATAAAGGAAAGGGAAAAAGCCAAAAAGCACTGTATGACCTCTTTCAAATAACAGCTTAAAAATTATTTTGATGGTACACTGACTTGTTATAGGGTGAATGGAGTCTCTGTCATTGCTACTCTGGGCTCCCTTAGCCAGATACTGCGCTATGTAATGGTGGAATCACGAGCAGGACATTTACGGCAGCGTTATGGTTTACGGCACCAAGATGTAATTCTCAGACTGGCTTTTACTCGTTGGCGTGAGCTGAAAGAGCTGAAAGGATGCAGGACCGATGGTGAGCTGGACATCTTTCTGTTGGCTTGCTATGTCTTGTGCTTGCTTGATGTTTGGCTGTGTTAGCAAAGAGCCAAATCAGCTAGAGGTTTCACAGACAGATGTTAAGCTGCTAGCTATAAATCTCGAGTTAATGTTAGCTAACTAGACAACACGCTCGGGCAACCGTAACGTTACTGTAAGTGCTCATGCATCGATTGCTGTCTAGCTTTGTTGGCTTGCTGGCCACCCAAGTTTCAAGCAACATTATGCTGCTGCTGGTCGAGAGCGGCACCGGTGTCTATGGACATAACGTTAGCTAATAGAAGAGGCAAAGACACAGAAGAGAACGTTGACGGAGGAAGCTAAGAAGAGAAAAAGACAGAGACCAAGCAAGAAGCTGCCGGACGTTGGCGAGAGCTTCGTAAAATAAAAGGCTGCAGCTCACAGTCCCCAACAGAACAAGTTTCCTCGGATTGCTAGGGCTAATAGTTAATTCTGCACTCTGAGCTAACTAGGAGGTATCTTTCCAATATGTATGTGCGCGCTTGATCTGTGGACCATATTTACTAAATTCACGGGGTATAAAACAGGGATCCTACTATACTTGTAAGGTCCGGCAGCTTTGCGGGGACAAAGTGTAAAAGGGCTGTTGTTTTTAGGGTTAGAGTTAGGCATATAGTTGTGATGGTTAGGTTTAAGGTAGGGGTCTAGAGAATGCATGATGTCCTCACAGGGACAGTGGGATAAACCTGTGTGTGTGTATGTGTGTGTGTGTGTGTGTGTGTGTACATGATATTCTTTTCTTTATTAAAAATCAAAATGCTAAACTATTAATCATCCTATAAATCACTCATCCACATTCAGGATGTTCATATGTTATCTCTCTCCCTGTGCCTCTAACCATCGTTGGCTGCCAAGCACTCAGGTCCCGGGTACCACTTGTTCTGCTGCATGACACGTCATCATGTGTGTCTCAGGCCATTAGGCAACATTACGAAGGAGAGCTTTCGGTCTGGGGAGTTTCTCAATAGGCTCAGTGTCTCCTCTTGAGCCAATGCCATGCTGAGGGCAATGCATATGGAAAATCTGCAAAGCCTCAAGGGTGTTGGAGTTTAATGTCGAGCAAAAGAGCAGAAGCCGTGGTGGGGGATTGTTGAAGATGTCTCCTTCACTGAAATCACTTATTTTTTGTAGGGCTGCATGTTTTGGAGAAAAATTCATGCTATGAGTCTACTTGCTTGATTATCAAGGAATGCACGAAATGCCAACATTTTGAAATGTGTTTTTCTCAACTTCTCAACAATAAACAATATTTATAAAAATAACAAGTAAAAAAGATGTAAAACAGAACAAGGGGAGCGTGTTGCTCTATGGAGGAGGCAGCTAAAAACAGCAAATACTGGCACACTGGCACAGGCTCAGTGTACATCTGTCCACTGCAGAGTCTCTATCCACAACCTGGAGGAGGAACTGTACATGAGTGTATTGAATAAAGAGTATAATTTAGTTTAGTTTAGTTAATTGGAGACTTAGTATAACAATAATATATTCAATACTACATTCATTACAATTTCATATAATAGTGTACTTTTTTACCACTAGTCCAGTTTCATTTCTGTGGGTTGTTTTTATTCAATTGCACAAGGACAAGCAAAAGGCTTTACATTGGTCTCTAATTTGTTAATGCAAAGTTCTAACTTGTCAATAAGCATATTGTTCAACATTAAATGATTTGCGGTAACACGTCAAACCTTTTTTTATCCAGGCTGTGATCTGTCTGCTGACGAAAAGTGACTGACAAGCACGTCTATTTGAACTACTTTTTGAAGGAAACATAATTGCTGTTGTTGTTGATTGTTGTTGATTGGTGATTGCCAGTCCAGAAAGTGCTATGTTTTTTTACTTGTACAGCTCAGCGGTTGTAGGGAGTTGGTAGGAGTGGATGCTGGGCATACAAAGAGCAGGACATTGTGTTCCACGTGTGGTTAGTTTAAGGCTACAAAAAAACTAAGTTTAGGTTAGCTAAAAAAAAAAAGAAAAGATGATTCTATCAGCAATTAATTTTTCAAGCCCTGACATTGATTATTTCCTAGTCTCAACATATTTAGAAGACAGGACTGAAAGGAGACCAGCAGATTTATATTTAGGCGGGCTGCTTCTGCCTGACTCAGATGGTATCTGCTGGTCTTCTTCACAGCACAAAGGCAGATTGCTTTACGGCACACAGAAAAACATTTTTACTTTCTAATGAACCTGCAGCTGTGTACCACTGATGACAAGATGGTACAAATATTATCTTTGAAGCCACTCTAATCAATATTTGTACGTGAACAATGTGTCAGATGGCTAGCTGTACAGTGAAAGGTGTTGCTCGTAGTTAGAGCTGTCACAGGAGGGGTGTTTAACTTAACTTAAGCTTGAACAGCAGTATGCTCACCTTAAACAGGTGTAAGCACATCCAACATTGGACGCATTACATTC